TGCTGAATCGATTCCACACCCGACGTTTTGAAATCCTCTGCAAAATCGAAATCGCTCCACCCTAATATGCATAGACGTCATCCGACGACTGTACTTATGTGTTAAATCAGTATTAATTGAATTAATTTGGCTCCCCCTCCCCAGCCGGACAAATTTTTGTTTCGAGCGTCAAACTTTCAGGATATTTAGCCCTTAATTAGCCCTAATTTGCCCCACCAAAATTAGAATTTGCCCTCGATCGGTTTGCGAGACATGGCCATCGGCGATTTTGGGGATTTTCAGTAAAATCCACAAAAAGGCATATAACAAAAATTTCACACAAGTGCATAAAAATGAAAACTAATGATTCAAAGTTTTAGCCCCTGATTTGTGCCCTTTCCATTTCTATCTTGGGACAAATTTTTTTATCACAAAAAATGTCCCAAAATCGATTTGGGATAAATTAGCGATATGGGACCATATACGATTTTTTTTTTTTCAACAAATTTGTTTGTTTTTAAATTGTCATCTTAATTATATGATATTTTACATCAAATTAAAAGTCTAAGTCCTGTTTTACCTCAGCAATATAAAGTTTTCGTTCGAAATTTATTTTGTGTACAGTTTTCAGTGTATAATTTCTTCAAGTTTTTCTTCGTTCTGTTTACTTGTTATTGTTGTTGCCTACTGACTGACCGTAAACATGTGTACATCGAACTGTGAGGTAAAAAGCCAAATCGCTGAGCTGCTGACAATGCTGGAGCCAATATGGACCAAATTAAACCAGCTCAAAAAACTTTATCCTGACGAAATTAGCTCCGTGAATTCGGACAAAGCCGATAAATCGGCAAACTCACGTACTGAGCCCATGGATGAAACACCATCACCAACTCAAGCTCAGCAACAAATACCGGACAACGTGTCAAACTCGGGTTTACCGCTTGGAGACTTGCAAAATGTAAACATTTCACGGCGGAATAAAAGCAAGCGACCCAGACTTGATTCGGAAGAACTGAACTCTTCAGAGGAAGAGCAAAGTGACACTTCACCGCTGTGCAAATTGGTTTTTCGTCGTGATTCCAGCGGGAACAGTGGACAAAACGGTGCAAATTCAAAGCCCGTTCATACTGTATTGATGCGCTCGGTTTATTTAACTGAATTTCTACCGACAACCGAGCCTGCCGACATTATTAATCACTTGAATAGCATTGAAACTGTCCGACCATTGACAAGTGATTTCAAAATAACCAAGCTCGTAAAGAAAGATAACAAAATGGAGTTGTCATTTGTGTCATTCAAACTTGATGTTCCTCGCCAACACTTTGACAGCAGCAGGTATTTGGCCCAAGAAAATCAAAGCCACCGAATTTCAGGTCAAGTCTATGAAGTCATCTGCACCGGCAAACCGTCCCAAAACTCATAACAACCAACAAATTCGGTCGCAACTACGAAATTTATCAGCAAAGGCCGCTCAAACTAAGTCAAAAAACTCCAGTGGCACAGTGAAAACTCAACGGTTGGAACCGGCAATGAATGCATCGAACCGGCATTGCAACAAACGGCCACTGCAGCGCCCACGGAGGGGTCGGCGCCAACGCAACCAGCCGAATTTGTGTCAAAAGAGCTGTTGTCTCCAACGTCAGCCTCAACCTGTCGTGGAGAGACAGCACAACGGTTGCACAGGTCACTACGAAGGAAATCGTCACGATTTTCATCGCCGATGTTGCAACTAGAGTCATGCACATCGGATGAATACTGCGTTTTGTGTACAATCTATTACCAAAACTGTCGTAGCATATGCAACAAACACAAACGCTTCTTTTGTACCTCTGCTTCATTTCAGATTCGTCTTGTTGCTGTGATATCATGAATGGAAATTATAGAATCATTCCTTTATTTTTTTAAAAAATAAGAAAAATTTATGTTTGAAAAAAAAAAATGAAATTTTACCTACGAACGAACGAACGAACAAACGAACATGTTCGCAGATTCTACGAACGAACGAACATGTTCGCATACGAACGAACGAACGAGCGCTCGTTGACCGCTCTGCCCGTGATTTCAGTTACTTTCCTCATTTGTTTATTTTGTCATACATTTTAGCGAATTTTTTAAGAAAAAGTCAAGAATGTGGGAATGGTACATACTCATTCAAGCGGCGATAAAATCAAAATTCGTACATTTGTTTTTCAGTGTTGCTCTATCTCTTTTCCTCTTTTTTAAGTTTGTAACACAGGCACAAATACAAACAACGAATCTAAGTGTAAATGAAATCGCGATGAAATATCGATTGAAATGAACACACGCCGTTGTGTGGCACAATTCAAACACCAGTGATTGTTCCAATGCAAACAAAATTGCAACAACGCCGATTTTATCGTCGCTTGAATGAGTATGTACCATTCCCACATTCTTGACTTTTTCATAAAAAATTCGCTAAAATATATGACAAAATAAACAAATGAGGTAAGTAACTGAAATCACGGGTATGTGAATTTGTTTGTCACACGATAGAAATGGAAAGGGCAAATTGAGGGCTAAATCGTAGTGCGTTCTGTTTTCAGTTTTGATACTAAAATGAAAAATCCCCCCATAATCAGTGAAAATAGCCTACTATTGACTCCAAATCGATTTTGGGACATTTTTTGTGACAAAAAAATTTGCCCCAAGATAGAAATGGAAAGGGAAATTGATTGCTAAATTTCTGTAGAAAAATTTCCATAAAATAATACAGTTTCATAAAACAGCCTATTCGTATATGGTCCCATATCGCTAATTTATCCCAAATCGATTTTGGGACATTTTTTGTGATAAAAAAATTTGTCCCAAGATAGAAATGGAAAGGGCACAAATCAGGGGCTAAAACTTTGTATCATTAGTTTTCATTTTTATGCACTTGTGTAAAAGTTTTGTTTTACTGAAAATCCCCAAAATCGCCGATGGCCATGTCTCGCAAACCGATCGAGGGCAAATTCTAATTTTGGTGGGGCAAATTAGGGCTAATTAAGGGCTAAATATCCTGAAAGTTTGATGCTCGGAACAAAAATTTGTCCGGCTGGGGAGGGGGAGCCAATTAATTTGGAAATAATGATTAAAATAGAAATTTTTTATTTAACAAATGAATGACTAAATTTATTTTCAAAAACAGAACGCGAAATAATAATATAATGAAAGAAGAAGCGGCCACGAAATTTATTCAATTAAGTGTTTGCATGATTGATAAATTAAAAACGATCGAAATTGGTCGATCGTCGTCTCTTACATTAGAAAACTAGTTTGATCACGATATGTCCAAATAAATCTGCAAAAAAAATCAAACTCATTTCGATCGATTTGAGGAAAACTTATTTACTTCGGATTTGTTAATGTATTTTGCTTCAGTGTGGTACGTATTGATTTATAACAAATGGGAAGCAATGCATTGATCATTTTGAATGATAAATATTAATGACAACACAGCTGGTGCGTTTATCGTTCACTACTTTAGTTGGTTGATACAAAAGGTTGCTTCCGTCATAGAATCATATAGAATAGGGAACAATTGTTTTTTATTAGGACTAAAAAATTTAGCCATAAATAAATAAATAAAAGAAAAACTTATTACCGATGCACCGACACTCTCCTCATTTACTAAACAATTACTTGTCCGTGCACGGCGTGCACCCAGAAGACAAGTAGCGGTAAAATTTACGTTTTTATTTTATATGTAGTTTTTCCATTACTAAACGTGTCCGTTTCTCATTTTTTCGTATTTTTTCAGTATTGAATGAAATGTATAGAATTAATGTGATAATATGTGACTTACGGGTATGTGTTCCAAGACTTCACCGTGCAATAAACTGATTGAAGGTCGTTTGAATGCTCGCAATGACAGCCGATAATTATCTAAACGTGGAAGCGCTTCTCTAAGCAAATAAAAATACAAAAGAAAAAGAATTTTTAATAAAGGAATTCACGGATAATGATGATGTTAACATTGCTGTTGTAGTTGCTTGTGTGGCGATAAACAAAAAAAATATGTTTTTTTTCGATTGTATCGTTCTGTTTTGCGCGTCCCTAACAATTTGTTATTGCTAGAATCAAAGCAGTAACAATTTGAATGTTGTATTATGATGAATAAATTCAGTATTTAGGAACCACGTTCAATCACAAGAAGAATCATGAATGTGAATTTGTTTTGATTGATTCATGTTCAGAAGATATTTTCCCATACTATATATATCATTATAATGATCCGCATATATTACGAATTGGTTTTTCACATCGAATTGAATTCGCATTGTAAATATTGTTCAAACATTCCCAACCGTTACTCATATGTTTCTCGGATTATATCGGTGTTCGTTCATTCGAAAATGCGTCTAATTTTAGAACAATTCAAAAAACCGAATGAAGGAACGTGGCACTCTGCTACAAGAAGACTAATGTAACAAAATCAGTATGGGTAATTCTTCTCATTATTGAAAACACTACATTTTAGATGGCTGTTCAATAATTTGCTTTCAAAAAATATCAGGAATTGATTCTACTTAATCGGTTGGCATTTTAAATGGAGATGAAATTCATCCTCAAGATTATCAAGATAAGAATACAATGAAAATTCGTCCGCATTAACTTTGAATTTTGGAACCAATTCGAATAAAAAACATTTAAACTGACTCTGCGAAATTGTTTTTTGTACAACTTCGTCTCTCTCACACTGACCCGTTCGCACGTAAATTACTTTAAAGTGATGTAGTTGTTGTTCGCAGTTTACCCAGTTTAGATGTTCTTCGATAAATTTTCACTTCGCCATATTTCAATTCAGTTTATCAACATTAAACTCAATAGATAGAATATGGGAATGTAATATAATAATGTATAACTGTTTTGTTTTTAAGAGCAGCTTGAGAATATTTTTTTTGAAATTCATCAATGAAGTCGTCAATCAGTGAGTATTGATCAGTTGAGGTCTAAATTTTTGTTCTAACTAAAATGTTACGTGGGGCATTCCATAAGTTTTTAGAATAGATAAGAAAAAACAAAGATTTATCCTCAAAAATTGCTTTATTGTTTCTCAAAATATTCGCCATGAAGTTTTACACACTTGTCCATGCGCTCAAACCACTGATCAAAACACTTTTGCCAGTCCGTGTGAAGAAGCCAGTCCGTGAACATTTAAACCAATTCTATAGCTTAAATACGCAAAACGAAAAATTTTGTCGTTTAAAACTTGGAATCGAAAATCATTCATATTGGGAAAAAATTGAATTGAAGTTTTTTTCAACGAAATTTTGAATTACACTTTTTTATGATGGTTCAATGGATTGAAAGAGTTCCTATGGGCCAACAGAACTCATTGAAACCAATACCATGTCTAGAATTTGCAAAACAGAATTTCGCCGGTCAAAAGATGATGTCGAGAATTCTTCATATAAGGGAACAAATCAACTCAATTTTTTCATCGACGAAATTTTCAAATCTTTCAATTTTCAATAGTTTTATGAATTGAATGTAGTTCTAAGGACCACCTGTACTCATTGCCAGTTTCAATTTGGAACCGTTTTCACAATTGTAATATCGATGTTCCTTCTATGTTGCTAAATTATTTCGTCTAATCGTTGAAGATATGTCCAAATTGCTGGCGAGATTTTCTTGAATAATGTGTGAATTTCTCGGCATCTCAGTAAGAAGACTTGACCTCCTGAGAAACTCTGTATTTGTATGACTTACATTCAACATTCGAAATACTTGAATCGAACTCGAACAGTTCAAAACAAATCGAAATCGAACTCAAACAAACACGAACATAACTTATTTTGTTTCGAAAAATTTGAACCGAACCCGAACGAACACGAACGTTCGGTTCGTGAGCAGCTTTAGTGCGATTGCCCCCAAAATTTAATCACATCGAATCCTCAACATTCCAAAACTTTTGGCTTTTACCGATTGTAATTATCTCAAAAACGAGTTATCTTGGCACAAAATATTTTGCGTACGGACATACATGCGGACCCCCCAAAAATGGGTTTTCCGGGTCTGGGGGGATGTGATATGGATGGAAAACATCATTTTAAGGGCGCAAAAAATTTGGGCCGAAACAAATACTTTTTTCCCACCCCTCATATGTCGTGTGATCACGCGGGAGCGTGATCCACGACATGGGGTGGGGAAAAGTAATGTTATTTCAATCATTTATATCATGCTAACAAGCCCACAGACAAGCCACACTCATTTTTATTGAAGTCGAATCCATTTCAACTACTAGCGGATAAATATTTACATCAGAGTTTTCAGTCACCAATTGATATTAATTTATTATGTTCGTTACTTATGGTTAGTAATACAGAAAGAATTGTTTGTTCCTTCAAAGAACATCTAAACTGAGTTTACTGCGAACAACATCTCTTTTACGCTAACAGCAATTCGTACACGGACGAGTCAGTGAAACAATTGGTGTGAGCGAGACAAAGTTTGACAGCAAACAATTTGGTTGTATCAATTTAAATGTTCTTTCAGTATATAGTGAAACTATTGGCTAGCTGTGACGATAGTAGCATGATTTTCTACAAATCATATTGAAGCGACGATTGCATAAGTGTCCGAATTATGAATTAATTATTTGTCATGTACCAATTTGTACCAATTTATATAGCAACTCATCCAATTAGAGTTAATTTTGATTCAAAACTACCCATTTTTTGTTCGATTTCCATAATAAATTTATTCGAAGTGAATGGAAGAAAAACGAATTTATTTTTGTATCTCTACCACAAATGGATTTTTGTTCCACATTCTATGTATCATAATCAAATTAAATCTAGACAAACTAACAATCAGTCGCAAAATTCTATCAACTTTTGTTAATGACCATAATGAACTATTTATAAATTTTGTACCTAGTCCAATATTTGACGAAGATTCTTTTTATGAGTTTGTTTTAAATTTGAATAAAAGCATTACTTTTGCGGCAATTGAACATATTCTTTTCTTTCGCCAGAAATATTCCGGAACCACATTCAGAGGAATTTTTTTGGCAATTTACATTTTTCAACGTTTAAAAATTTGAGAATGTTCTCACGAAGTACTAGTGAAGCTAATGTGCAATATTTGAACTATTTCAAACACACCCTCAATAGCGCCAGGGCCCATTTGCTAATGAATTCACAGTCACTTTTTGCAATTGTTGTAATTTTTTGTATTGGTTTTTATGAACATAAACGCGGTAATAATCACTTTATCTATTTTAGTATTCAAGTCTATATAAATGGGTATTTTCAATATGATGTTAAATGATCAACGTAAATATTTCTTATTTTGTGACATTAGAGACTAAAATTAAAGTTTGCAAATAGAAATTACCTGGTGATGTGTGTAAATCCTAAACTGCTTTTTCGTTTGAGTTCTCCTTGTACCGGGCACGTGACGGAATTGCGCTTTGAATAAAGCCCATACACATTAAGTTCGACTGGATCCATGGCAGGATTATCAATTCCTTTTGTATCACAGCCATCACCAACTTGTGACACTTGAAAACGACTCATTTATCAATTGGTTTTAAAATAATCAATTCGATCTGTAAAATAATTTTTAGTACAATTTGGTAAAGTATTTTTATCATTGTATCAGTCCTTTTTCATACAATATTCACTCCAAAAATTTTAATGGACCTTAAAATCTGTATTCATACAGAGATAAAAGTATAACGACAATTTAGTTGAGCATGGAAAACCAACATCACGATGCGCTAGAAAAAACAAATAACCTTATATCTTCGTTTCATTGTTGTAATTACAAAGAACTAATGAAAATAAATGTACGTATTTCTAAGAAAATGATTTCTTAATTCTTCTACTCGAACTGGATTTTTATTTCATGTCTCCATATTTTACTTCAATCCATCTTTTCTTCATTAGAGAGTCATTGAGATAATTAGAGAGTGTTGGAGTCTATAATGAGTTTTACACATAAACTCAACTGAACTAAATATCTCTATACCTTCAAATATTTTCTCCAAATCATACTTAATAATTTACCGATAAGAAATTTTATTTCATCAAAGATATCTCCAAACGTATTTAGGCGCAACCACCGATTTATCGGCACTAGCCAAAAAAATAAGGCGTGGTTTCGATATTCTAGTACTAACTAGTTCAAATCGGTTCAAGTCATAACTTCCTTTTCGAACGACTTTATTCGTGTTCTACTCTGTTCGCTGTTAATTGACTGATTCGATTTGCATGGAAATTTATCCAATACAGTCCCAAAGATTTCTCTGAGTCATAAAACTCAGAAACCGATTTTATCCGGTGATGTAAATGAATGCCTCCGCACTCATCGATTTCATTGCATTTGATGTGCAGGATTTTTTATCGTTCAAACAGTGTTTCTGTGAATGGCGTCATAAATATTTTATGAATGCTGTTTCCAATGTCAGTTGATGTTTCTGTTTTTTACTGCGCTATTTTTGAAATTCAGTTTGCATTTATTTTCTGGAATACAAATATTTACCCGTAACTCAATGTTTTTAAAAATCAATTGAGAATAAATGTTCGTTCTTGACACTGAAAAGCATGATTGAAAAATTATAATACGAAATGAATTATTTTGTCACAATTTTTCTTTTGAAATCCCCTTATTGCTGCATTAATTCTGTGAATAATGAATTGTTCACTTTTTCTACAATCTGAAGAACAAACGGTGTTTGGGATTTAATATATCAGTTTATTTGGATGGAGATATACTAAAAATTAGTTCAAAAAAGCGTTGAAATATTTTGTGAATATTTTTCTGTTTTTAACTCTACTTAACACTACTTTTCGCAGATATCGATTCTTTTAGATATCGATATTTTTAAAAATAAAATTAATTACACTATCTTTGGAACATTGTTAGCGTAGAATTAATTGTTCTCTTGCGAAACTTTATGATTTGAAATTCCATTAGACACATATTTTTCTCGCACTAGCTCAATGAACACAATAGAATTTATGCACCTATTCAAACAATTGTGTGTTAAAAACATATATCATGTTCAAAAATGTAGACTAAGAAGTTAAATTTGACTGTGGAATCAATACTGACCAGACAACGACCAGAGCTATCGACCGACTAATCGTAAGGAGAAAACAAGATAGTCGAGATGGAGAAATCGGAAAGCGGAAAAATCTATCGGTAATTCTCGCATTTGAAAATATTTCCCACTGTGAAACTTTTCTCTCTCATTGCATTGTGCTCATGCCCAGAATTGTAATGTGCAGGAGAACAAAAACTAACAAGTATGATCGAAACTCCGGAAGTATACGTTCAGTATAGGTATAAAACACACATAATAATTGAAACTCACAGAAGAAAAAACACAAAAAAACTATTTACGAAGAGCAAACCGATTTTTAATAACTCGAATTCCAATGGAAATCCAGACAGAGCGTTTAATAAATTTATTGAAAAATTTGAATTTGAAAGCTCTATATACTGTATTGTACGAGTGATCGACAGGTAATGAAGAATGAGCAGTCGAACTGTGAATGAGATTCGTTTTATAGCGAAGAGAGACGAGCGTAATTTAATTTCTGTTATGTCTAAATCATTTCAATTGAAAAGCACACCCGATTTCATCGCCTCTGTTGACACATATATTTACAAACAAACATACATTTCGGCAAGTTGTCGGAACTCGATTCGGCGCCTAAGCTTAACGATCCTATTCTATTCACAAACACGATCTTTTGTGTGTACTGTGACAAATTACCAAACGAAAGAAGACACCAAGAAACAAATGTAAACAAAGCACATATGAACCGAACGAACAAATCAAGTTAATTCAGTGCAAACGCAGTGCGTAATATTTCATATTTTTTTTCATAGATACATAAACGCCGACACAATGAATATATACCTCGCACTGGGACTTTGAATAATGGGCAAAGTAATTTAAATAACTATATCGAACATTATTTTGAAAGAGAATTCTAATTAGATGTCGGAGCGTTTTTCATTCTAGTTCATGCCATGTTTTTTATTCTAGTTCCAAGCATGATTCAAAATAATTGACCGTATTTCGAACATTTTGAATTTTTTGGGATTTTATTTCAGCTAATCAAGTGACAAAACTGGTTCCAGCACGTGTACAATGCTTCACTCTTACATGTGTGTAGAGTCTTGAAGATTATTAAATACATTTTAACACTCAACAGCTTTTTAACGAAGCATTTTTTGGTTGTTCAATTTATTGACGAAATTGGATGAGAAACGATTGTTAATCAGAATATTTTTCACAAGAAGCGCAACAAGTCACAGTCGGTTCAATTCAGAATTTACACTAGTTTTAACGCACATGTGACTTGAAAATTATATCGAAACGATGTTTCAATTTGGGCAATAAATAATTCCTTTGGGAATTTCGATGTCGAGCTCTATTTTTGAATTTAATTAATTGCTTTTTGCCTTTCGAACACAATTGCTGCATCAACAATGTCGACTGATAGATATCTCGTTATATTCAATTAAAACCGCTTCTTTCTTCGAGTAACCGTTTGACATGAAAATACCAATGTTTTCCTCAAATCATAGTTACAAATATCATCTTTCATGGCCACAAACCATATAATTTAAAGTAAAAAAATCGATTTCCTTATGTTTTTTAAAACTAAAACTGTACTTTTTTGTTTTAAATCACCATTTCTGAATAAATTGTTCTACTATTCCGATGTGCAAGTTGAATACTGATGACAGTGTCATCATGACACTATACAAACACGTATTGATTGCCGCCTATCAACAAAACGCCACTTTGAAATTGACACGATAAGCATCAGGTAGCACCTAAACACGCAAACCAGATGCTTATATCTGGTTCGATCCAGTTAGAAGCCGATTCACAAACTAAAGCCGCTATTTTTCGTGTTAATATCACCTTTTAAGCGTTTTTTTTAAATATCAAAGGTAAACATGAAAATTCCACAGTTGATATCGTTATAGTGTATATTGTAGTCTACTGTACTGATTTTTTCAGTATCATACTGATTTTTGGCCAGAAAAATTTTAAGGAAATGAGAGAGTGTTATCGGTTTATTGGTTTGATTAAGACTAATTTTATTCAATTCAAATTAATGACATTATGCGCCTTATGGTTAGCACGCGCCTCGTACGTTCATGCCGTATGCGGGTGTGCATTCCTTTTTGACCATTTCTTTAGTTCATGCGTGCGCACTTCTGCATACGTGCGCCGTATGCAGGTGAGCGCGCAGTCAACTTTACATTTATTAGATTTACAATGTATTCTTATCACTACAAAATCAGTATAGGGATATTGGGGTGAATCGAGAATTTTGTCTTCCAATTTTGGTATTTATCTCCCAAAATTGGAAAATGGATATCTGTCAAAATTAGATTAAATATCTGACCAATTTAGAATATATCTGACCGTATTGGATTTTACCCTTTAAAATATTTTTTCGGACGTCCGGTCCGAATGTCCGAAAACCGAAAATAATTTTCGGACGGACGGACAGACAAGGGGTTTTGTCCGAAATTTTTTTAATTAAAGAAATCAAAAGAAAATTGGATAAGAATACGCAGCGTATTCTTCTTCAGCGATGTTTTTGCATTTTTTGGTTGGAAAAGTCTCGGAAAAGCACTACTGTGGGAAATCGGGAAATCGGGGAAAGTTCAAACCAGAGAACTTTTTTCCAAGAGTTTTCCAACCAAAAAATGCAAAAATGTCGCCGAAAAAGAATACGCTGCGTATTCTTATTACTTTTCCGCGAACTTTGTTTGTATGGAAAAGTATTGGTTTTACTAGCCAAAATTTCATGACATCTCCTCTTTCGGACCACTATAACGTCACACCAAACTTCAAAAAGCACATATCTGTACACTAGGCAATGTTGATGGGATGAAATCCTATCGATCAAGACCTATCTACTCCCAAAAACATGTTGTTTACTATGAAATATGTGCAAAATAGCGATGTGCGTATGGCGTCGTCCGCGTCCGCGTTTTTTGTTCACTGATTATCTCAAAAAGTTGACAAGATAATTGAGATCTGTAAGAGCCAAAAGTTTTGGCATGTCGAGACAAAGCTTCGGATGGATTTTGAGCCCATTCTGATTTACCAACTTCGTACCATAAGCCTCCGACTGAGGACCTGAAAAACCTTGAAAAATGACACTTTTGTACGGGAAGTACCCGAAAAAAGCATTTTTCAGCGTTTAAATCAAAGCAAACTGCCATTTTTTTGCAAAAATAATGGGAGTCTGTGAACAACCGAACACCTACTTGCCCATAAATTTGGTCCGAAATCAACATTTCTTGAAATTTTTGAAATTTTTGTTTGAAAATGACACTTTTGTATGGAAAATGGTCGAAATAGTTATATTTTAAGGTCAAAAATGTTATGAAAAAAGGGTCCATTGAAATTTTGGTTAAACATTAAGCAGGAAAAAAAATATTCGGACGTCTGAGAAATTTCAAAATGTTCGGACAAAACCCCTTGTCCGTCCGTCCGTCCGAAAAAAAAACTCGGACGTCCGAAAATTATTTTCGGTTTTCGGACATTCGGACCATTTTCCAAAAAAAATTTCAGACGGACGGACGGACAAAATTTTGTCCGTTGACACCTCTTTTACAGCTAATGTCGAGTACTATCCGTAGAAACACATAATTTTGGTTTTTGTATTGAATATTTTGTGATATCGCCAAGGGGGTGGCAACTTCAAAAAGAGCACTGACGGGCCACCTACAGCTAGAAAAGTGCAAACTCTTATACGACATGTCAAATTCAAAAATTGTTATACAAAAGTCCGTTAAGTATTCTCTGTTCTGATCTGTCATTCTTATTTATTTATTTATTTATTTACACACCGCCAAAGAACTGGCTGAATATTCAGTTTTGCAGGAAAATGACTCCAAGAGTCATGAAAAACCTGATCTTTTGACGAAAGCGAACACAAAACAGCTGATATCAATTTTAAAAAATCGTTACGGAGCGATTCTGAAATTAGTTGGAAGAATGCAAAAAAAGCAAAACCAAATCGCTCCGAAATGATTTTTTAAATGGATATCAGCTGTTTTGTGTTCGCTTTCGTCACGAGGAATTACTTCGAAAGAAGTTTTTTTATTTGATATCAGTTGTTTTGTACCCGATTTTTTTTTTCAACAAAACCAACTAAACAAACACAAAGTGGTGTGTATTGAGCCAAAGAAAATAAAACATGAAATGTTGTAGTTAAAATCCAGCATTGTCGCCTTTTTGAATAAAGCAAAATCAGCGCGTAGGTGGGAAAGCAGACTTATAAGCGTGTGGACTCGAGTTCGAGTCGCACACCGGAGGAAATTTTTTTTTCATTTTTTTCGTTAAATAAAATTTTGTTTTTGGACAGACAGATGAAATTACATTTTGTTTTGATGAAATTACATATCGCTTTTGTAAAGGTCCCTCATTTTCAAAGAAAAATTCGCAAAATTTTGATTGGATTCGTTAAAGAGGTCGAAATGAAGACGATTGGTGCCAATGGTATCGTTGCGAAATTTTTGTTGCCTCCCTACAACCCTATGTAGCTTCAAGCCTCCATCTATGAAAATAGCGTCTTATCGATACATTTTTGCTTGTATCTCGTAAACGGCTCAGAATTTTCGTAAAAGTCGATAATATAACGAAAAATTGCAAAAAAAAAACACTTTTTTCAACTTTGGGGGATTTTTGACCCTAAAGGGGGGTTCTGGGGGGTTGACGTGTTCAGAAAAGTTGTTTGTCTTATCAAAACCTTCAACTTTGTTGCAGACAGTAAAGCAAAATCTCGATGCGTTTACGAGTTACAAGCAAAAATGTATCGATAAGACGCTATTTTCATAGATGGGAGGCTTGGAGCTACATAGGGCTGTAGGGAGGCAACAGAAAATTTCGCAACGATACCCAATGATAAAATTTGCCTAGGTTTTTATATGGAGCACATGTTTATGCTATATTTAAGCGACATCTCGACGGTACACGCTGAACTATGAAACTTCTTTATAAATATA